GAGCAGGGAGCCCGATGCGGGACTCGATCCAGGGACTCCAGGATCATGACCTGAGCCGAAGGCAGTCGCTTAACCAACTGAGCCACCCAGGCGCCCAATAGCTGATATATTTTAATTAAGCAATCACCCGACACCCTGAAATGGCTGAGCCTCAGTAAAATGTTGGTTGAACACATAGTGACAAACCTGCATGACATTTTCTGTTCTGGCTTGTCTAGAACAGCTAAAAATGCACGCAAGCGAGTATGGGTTACGTCGCAACCCAAGTGGTCAACACCGAAACAGCTCAGGGGAAGAATAACTCCAGGACTCCATGGCAACAAGCCCTGCTAGGGAGATGGTGAGCCATAAAGCACACCTGAGCCCCATCCAATGTGGGGCTTTCAGCATTCTGCCGTCCCCCCACCCCAGGGCTGGGGCGGGGAGGAGTCTGAGCAGGTGACACTCAGACCCTCCAGTCCCATGCAAGCAGAGAAGCCCCCGTACTCCCCGCCGTCACATATAATTTCCATTCAACACTGAATAAAGAGCTGCAGTGGGGATGGTGGGGGATTGGGAAGCAGGGATTGTGGCTACCACTCTTCTTACCGAGTGCCACTGAAAATCTTTAAAAAAGAGTTCACACATAGGAGCTGAGGTCTCTTAGTTAACAATTTTATTAAAAAGAATGTAAACCTGAAGAGTTCGTTAATGCCGACATTTGCTTTCGGGAACTACAGATCTTAAATAACGTAGGGCCACCCATTCCTTTCAAGCAGTTTTCCCTGTTGCTAATACCAGCGGGAGATGTCAATACGGTTTCCTCCTACTTTTGTTTGGCTCAACGCCAGTGGCAGGCTAATTTCTGGTGAAATAAACACTTTGCCAAATTTACAAATGTCTTGATCTTGTAATGATGATGATGATCATAATGACGACGATCCACCTTGTCGGTTGCATAAAGTTGCATGGATGATTCCGTCCTGAGAAAAATACACCTACTAGTCCTCACTGAGTGTGGGGTTTTGTGTTTTTTGTTTTGTTTTGTTTTTTTAACTAACATAACAGAGATGTGGATTTGGAAGCTGGAAGGCTGCTTGAATGCACCTGTTCGAACGTCCGTCACCTCCTCAGTGGAGCCTCTCCTGATTCCTTCCTGCACACTTAAGCACTCCCTCCAAGAATACCCATAGCACTCAGCTTGAGGCTCTAGTTCACCGAAATTAACCATGTGCATGTCTGTCTCCTGCACCACACTGCTTCTTTCTTTTTTTTTTTTAATTCACACTGCTGATTTATTGACAGTAAGTTCCCTCCCTGTCTCCCATACCCCTTTGCCCCCCAAATAACATAATACTAGGCAAGTTTTGACAGATACCTAAGTATGAGCCAGACACTCCAGCTAGGTGCTTTTTAAGGACCTTGTGGTAGAATAAAGGAGATGCAATTTACACACAAAACAACTAGGGAAAAATACAAAGTAAAAAATAATAATATATTAAGTGAGCAAATAAAGTATATCTTACTGGAGTTATTAGAAACCACAAAGGGGAGAGATAAGCATGAACTTAGGGTTTTGTGGGTTCATTTTTATTAGCAAGAAATAGCAGTATTTACTAATACGCCATCTTCATACTAAGAAAAGGGTAAATATGAATATTGTCATGGAGCAGATGTTGGGGAAAAACAACCTTCTTTCTCAATTCATAAAGATGATTTGTCTAGCCCTGAAATGCTTTATTCATGTTTTTTTTTTTAAGATTTTATTTATTTATTCATGACAGAGAGAGAGAGAGAGGCAGAGGGAGAAGCAGGCTCCCAAGGAGCAGGGAGCCCGATGCGGGACTCGATCCCGGGACCCCGGGATCATGACCTGAGCCGAAGGCAGACGCTCAACCATCTGAGCCACCCAGGCGCCCGCTTTATTCATGTTTTGATAACATTGTAATAAATAGTCTTTACCACAATATCAGTCTAAAACAAAGAATACCAAAGTTCTGAGTTTGTATATCATCAGCATTAAATATTATCGCTGGCTATTAGGATCTTAATACTACTACCACTAAAATCATTTCACTTCATCAGATATCTTAGCTATATTGGTGCCAAAAGAGTAGGCTCAGTGACAGAGGTCACATTTATTGATAGTATATCTGAAGTATCCGTGACCTCGGACATGCTAAGAAGGAAACCCCGGTGCCTGGCTGACTGTTGACTTGCTCTTGCAAGACTTGTTTTCATTTTTTAAAATCAAGATGACAAGACAAATCTAACCAGACAGGAAAATATATTCAACGTCTGTCACAAAGGTAAGGATTTGAGCCACATTTTCTGCTCACTTGTAAGTGAACTCTAAAAAATATGCTTTGCCCATAGTTTATAAAAGTTAATGATTAGACACACAACTTAAATGCACTTTCCAATTCTTATACTTTGAAGCAGTCCCGAGTGAACTCTGGAATTGACTCGTTTAACCAGCCCTACTCTTGAATATGTCTTGAGATCCAAAGACCATGACATCCTGCATCTTTCCCTGGACACTGGGAGCAAAAGAAGACCCCAGTTAGGCCATCCACCCATTAAGGGGTGTCTATCAGAGACAGTCCTTACCTTCACAAACAGGCTGATCTCAGGGTCCGTGGAAGTTGGTTCATTTTCTTCCAAACCATCAGCAGCAGAATTGCTGGTGAAGAAGGCCCTGCTCTGTTGAATGGTGAAGTTTGGGGGGGAAAGCGGGTCTTCCCCCATCATGACTCCATCCTTCTGGGGTTCCTCTGAGCCAGGCTCCTGGTCTTGGGGTTCCTCCGGGCCAGGCTCCTTGTCCTGGGTTGGTGAGTGTAACTCTTCCATGGAGATGTCCTGGTCTTCCTGTAACTCACCTGGTTGAAGATCCTGGGACTCAAGACATACCTCATCAGACAAGAGATAGTCTGCTGCTTCTGGTTGGGAAGAGGTCAAGCTGTCCTCCTCACCCCCAGCCACACAAACTGACACAGAGTCATATTCATGGGTTTCCAGCTCAGCGGCATATACATTGTTTTCTGTCAGGCCTTCGTGGATGTTATCACAGAGAGGACCTTCATCCTCTCCTGGCTGGTCTGGAAGCTCATACATCCCTTCCTTTTGGACTGTGTCAGAGATGGTGCTATTTTCTTCGTCATTCATGTTCGTTGATCTGATAGATCTTTTGCAGGCGGACCTGAATGAATCAGAAATGAAGAAAGGGAGAGAGGATGCTGCCCCACCTTGCAGAGGAATCAACAGACTTTTGAAACACAGTGACTAGCAACAGTTGACCAATCAGAGGTCTCTAACAATCATTTACCAGAGACTTTCCTCAGCAAACCACAAGTCCATTGGACACAAGATAAAGCTTACACACTCAGTTAACTCCTTCACTCCTAAGGATAGTTTCAAGCAGGCTCTGGGGTTTTCCTCAATGCCAGTAACTCTGACATTCTTTGGTTTAGCAAGGGGTCGAGTTATCTTCCCAATTCACATTGAAATTCTGAATATTTAGCCATTTCTCACTAAAGAGGGCTCCCTCTTCCAATTGCCTCCAAATGTTGACAGCGTTCAAGAAGTCTCTCTAATTCGGGGGAGAACAGCTCTCCACAATGGTAACTCATCTATTACTAGCTGACTTCGTTACACAAAACAATTCTGCGAGTGTCCATACCCTATGATACATGAGTTATACATGCTCCAATTAGGTAATGAATTCCATTTGCATTTCTTATCTGGAAACACCACGAGGTGATTAAATGGCAGAAGGAAAAGGACATACATGCACTGGTCTATAGTCGCATCAGTACAGACCACCCAAAATAAAGAACTCAAAGATTTTACGGCTTTGAGTTTTATTTTCCCTCTTAAATCCATGGGATCATTACAGTCAGCAATACTTCACCGAGATTGTTACGAACAGGATACCACACTGAACACTAATCATATGTGTTAGAAGATACATTCTCTGCTGTCAAGAGACCTCTAAACATATTTGGAAGGCTAGGAAGAAAAACTAAACCCTAAAGGGCACAGAATAAACTATTCAAGATCTTCTTAGTGCAATTGGCCCACGTCTGGGAGAAGCAGGAAGGAGCTACATACATACATAAGGATGCCTATTTGATGTCACCTACCGATGCCACAAATAGACAGGCTCTTTGTTTTTAATCGGGTACTCTATTCTGCTAACTCCTGTTTCCCTTCTTCACACCATGCACATGGTTCTCTTTGAAGTGAGAACCCAGATAGATTATGAAGGGACTTTAATGTCTAGAAATCATGTGAAAATTTAAGAAGCAACACAACTCTGGACAAAGCATTTGATGAACACCTTATTAACAACACTCCCTTGTACCCTTAACTCCAACATTGTATCCAGGAATCTTGTGGAGCAAACTAGAGCAGAATTTCTAGAATTCTAGCTTTAGGGAGGGTTCAAAGAATAGATAAATGCAAAGATGCTAGAGACAGACTTTAAGGCTCTTGATGTTAGGCCTTTATCTTTTATTGAAAAGTGAGGTTTGATGGGTCCAAATCCTTGAGACGTTACCAGAGGTGTGTATAACTCAGTGGAGCCCCAGCTCAAATCCCCCTCATAATTTTAGCGCTAGAGAAAACCTAGGACGCCATTTAGTCTAACATTCATTTTATTTTGGGAAAAAGCCTGAAACCTAGAAAGGGGAGGTGATGGTCCAAGTTCACACAGAAAGTTAATGATAGAGCTGATTTCAGTGATGATTTCCTAACCTCCAGCTCGGTGATCTCAGCTACTCGCTCCCTCCTGAAGTCAGTGTTTTCCAACCTATATTCTTGATCACACAAGCCCCCACCCCAACCCATCCCCAAAGAATCCTTTTCAGATATTTTCTCCCATGAAATGAAAATACTGCTGATATGCTACATATCTGTTTGTGTTCTGTATGCATACTTGTGCTTTTTATGTAGGAAAAGAATAAGCTTTTGGTTCCCTAAGGCCCAATGTTCACCCCTTTGGGGGTGACCTTGCTCCTTTTGAGAATGCATGCTTTTACTGCTGGAGTATTTCTGGAGTGTAACTCATAATCTGGCACTGGATTACGTGCCATTCTGCATTATTACCAAGGAATACTATTCTACAATGCAGGTGTATATACACAGCAGGCTACTGGGTCCTCACCACGATGACCCAGCCGCGCAGTGGAAGCTGGTTAAGCTTAGGTTAGTATCACAAAGATATTTTATAAATTTCGTCCTCCTATTTCCCACCTCAGGGCACAGCCATCATGTTTTGGTTACAGGTTGTAATATAAAGCCAGTCATCCTGTTAAAATGCCGGTCAGCTCTGCTCAAACTCCTATAATGCCTCCCCATATCTCTCAATAAAAGTCAAAGTCCTTACAATGACCCACAAGATCCTACAAAATCTGCACCACCTTTCTTATACCTGCTTTCCACCCCCCACCTCGGCTAACTGTGTTTCAGATGATCTGGCTTCATTGCTATGCCAGGAACATTCCAGAATGCTCTCCGTATTAGGATCTTTACATTGGTTGTTTCCTTGACCTGAAATACATTTCCCCTGGATGTCTACATAGTCAATTTCCCAAACTCTTCTAAGTCTTTGCTTATACATCCCCTTGCCAATGAGGCCACTCTGTCCCGTTTCAAATGTCAACCCATTCTAACTCTGATCTGCAACCCCCCCGCCATTACTAAAAACCTTCACCAGACTTTTAAGTTCTTTTTCCATAATACCTATCACCTAATAAGATGTGATTCATTACTTACTTTTGTCTAGAGTTTATTTTCTGTCTTCTCCCACTGGAATGTAAACCCTGCGTCGTCTCAGATCTCTGTCTGCTTCTTTATCATTACCTCAAGCACCTAGAACAGTGGCTGGTATATATTAGATACTCAATATACATTTGTTGAATAAATTTTGGTGATTGTTTGATATCTTTATCCTCCACTAAACACAGAAGTTCCAGGAGAACAAAGCCCATGACTATTTAGCCGATCAGTATATACCTAAAATTTAGCAGATATCTGACACATCACTGATGCTTATTAAATTTTGGGTTTTTTTTTTTAAGATTTTATTTTTTATTTGACAGAGGGAAAGAGCACAAGCAGAGGGAGCAGCAGAGGGAGAGGGAGAAGCAGGCTCCCCGCCGAGCAGGGAGCCCGACGCCGGGCTCATGACCTGAGCTGAAGGCAGATGCTTAACCGACTGAGCCACCCAGGTGCCCCTAAATATTTGTTTTATAAACAACTAAAGTGGAGGAGCTGTAGCTAGAATTCATGTCCTTTTACTCCTGGTCCATTTTTCTTTCTGTGTTATGTGTATAAAAATTATGTCCTCACTGTATTTAAACTCCTACAGGAAGAGAACTAATATCTGGGTCTTCCACGGCACTTTGTATAAAGCAAGTTGGCTTGTTTACTTATAAAAGTATTTGATAATACTAGTATTTGATAATACACCTAGGCGCCCCTCCCCCAAATGTTTTATTCTGCAGCCAGATAAGCTGCTCTTCCCTGAACACACTGTGCTCTTTCCTGTCCCTACACTTTTGTACCTATGTTGCCTCTCCTGGGCACAATTTTACTCATTCTGCTATGTGCAGGTTATAAATATACATAAGACATGATCTTATGTGCACATATAACCGAGGAAATTTACACATTAAAATTCAAGAGAAAGGATCCAACTGGGCCTATGACAGGCCTGCCCATCATCTGGAATAATTTGACGCTGATGTCTGGTCTTCTGCTTTGCATGTGCAGACTCAACTTGGTTGGTTTGCAAAGGGCTTTTCAAACATTGTAGAACTGGGTCACTCTAACTAAACTGAAAAAAACATCACATTAGCAACTAAAATGCCAATGTATTATTTTACTACAAAAAAATTGCCAAATTGATTTGAATACCTCCTTAAGAAAATAAGCATAATCAGGCACCTGGGTGGCTCAGTCATTAAGCGTCTGCCTTCGACTCAGGTCATGATCCCGGGGTCCCAGGATCGAGCCCCGTGTTGGGCTCCCTGCTCCTCGGGGAGCCTGCTTCTCCCTTTCCCACTCCCCCTGCTTGTGTTCCCTCTCTCACTGTCTCTCCCTCTGTCAAATAAATAAATAAAATCTTAAAAAAAAAAAAAAGAAGCATAATCTCTTCATGCTAGTTAAGTCTACACAAGCAATCAGTTAAGATAATGTCCTCATACTATGTTCATGTGATCTGTGTTTACATGATCTGAGACAATACCCACCCTTTTAAGCCCAGTATCAGTGAATTGTGTCTTTTCTTTTTATATTGATCAGTCTCATTAAGAACTTACTAACATTATTTTTTTAGAAAACGTTTGGTTTTATTAATAGTCTCTATTGTGCATTTTTTTGCACTTTCATTCATTTCTGCTCCTATCTTTATTTTCTTTCTTTTCCTCTCTTTAGTTTTACTTTGCTGTTTTTACCCCAAGATAATTGTGATGGGTAAATTGGTGTTCAGTTTTTCTTCTTTCCTAATATATGCATTTAAGCCCATTAATTTTCCCTCTTAATACAGCTTTTTCTGCATCCCACAAGATGTCATATGTTTTATTTTTATGATCATCCAGGTCAAAAGGATTTAATTCTTATTTTCATTCTCTTGGGTTTTGTTTTATGTTTTGAGGGCTATATTATTAGGTGCACACGGATTCAGAATTGTTATATCATTTTGGTACATGGACTGTTTCTTCAATAAAAAATGCTACTCTTTATCTCCAGTAATATTTTTTGCCTTTTTCTGATATTAGTTTTCTTTTGGTTAGTGTTTACGATGTATTTTCTCAAGTTTTTACTTTCAACGTCTGTGTGTCCTTATATATAAGCATTAGATAGTTAAATTTTTATTCAGCCTGACAATCTTTGCCTTTGAGTAGTTGGTCTAGAAACACTTAATGCAACTGCAGTGCATTTAGGCTAAATATATTATCTTACAATTTCTATCTTTAAAAATGATCAAAAACTTGAATAGGAATTTCACCAGAAAGTAACATATAAATGTCACATAAGGTCATTAAAGAGAGAGCATCAGTATTAGCTATGAGAGAAATGCACTTCAGTGAGATCACTTAATACCACTAGAACAGCTAAAATTAAAAAGACTAACAAGAGCAAGTGTTGGTGAGGATGTGGAG